TACTTAGGCTGATACATCGCTACTGGTTGCACCTAGACACACCCGAGCATATTTAGTTGGGCTAGAAAACCTGAGGCCTAATCCTGAGACCCTAAGACCCGAGAACCCCAAACTCCTACAACCCCAAGGTATCCTTAAAGGTTAGAGGATAGGAAAGGGTTTAAGGCTAAGGGTTGACTGATCTAGTAAGACATCAACACGAGGCCCGGGGGGCGATGTAGAAAGTCCCAGAAGCAAAGACTCCCCAAAACATGTTACACACTTCGAAGCACCAACAATTAAGTTAGATACTCATACAAAATCAAAGCCGAAGAGATACCTCACATCCGATCACACGACAAGCTGAAGCGAATACTATGTATTCTCAAATAATGTTTCCCCTACAGAATAACCCAACCCCTGAACAACCAAAACCCAAATCACCACAAGGCTCTGGTTGTGCCGCTGCCAGCGGCTGCTGTGCCGCCACTGCCACCGAGTCCTGTTGCTGGGCCAAAGAACTGGGGTTGATATTCTGCAACATTAATGTTTCAGGAAACCCAAGGGGAGGAGACCAGACTCAAATTGCCATATAGTAGCATTGCTCTGTTCGGTTACCAAAGCGGTGCCCAGGTTCCCACACTATGCTACGAACAGAACCTTCCTGGCCGAGACGATGCATCCCAACTGCAGGTCGGGGGTTCAATTGTCGTGCGTCATTTACTCCCCTCCTCCAACAACTTGTGTTGCTCTAGGCTCTAAGTGTGATGATCCCCAAACATCCCGTGGACTTTGTGCTGAACTTATGCATTCTGTTAGTGGATCCAAGGTTCAAGAGAAACGGACCCATGGACCAGAGATATTCCTGGAACCCTATGTCGAGACGCGTGAGGAAACCCAGCTGATTCAGGAAACCCAGGTGGACGAGACCCGACTCCAAATAATCAATTTTAGGATTGCTCTGTGAGTTTGTGACTGGATATGCAGAGACGGTGCCTAGGTTCTCATGCCACACGATGCAAAGTCTGGCCCTAGTGATTTCGTGCTATCTGATGGAAACAGTGGCAAACTTGGCGATGATGGGTCTTCCAAGGTGCATGTTTCTGCACTGCTTACTGTGTTGTCATGTTGTCTGCCGAGTTGTGACGTTGTGTGCATTAAAGCCGTCCCCGGGTTCAGGAGACATTGGCTGCTGAGCAAAATGCTGGTGCTCATCCAATGCTATCGGGGCCCTATGTCGAGATGCCTGAGGACACCCAGCTGATTCAGGAAACCCAGATGGACGAGACCTGACTGGAAATATCCGGGCTAGCACTGCTATGTCAGTTTGTGAGTGGGTTTACAAAGACGATTTTGACTAGGTTCTCACGCCATGCGGTGCAAAGTCTGGCCCTGGTGATTTCGTGCCATCTGATGGAAACAGTGGCCAGGATGATCCCTCCAAGGTGCAGGTCGGTTATTATTCGGCTCCTTTGTGAGATAGTGTGGCGTACAGGCTTAGTTTAAGTTAAATTCTCGTTCTTGCAGGACAAAGAGCTGGGGGTGAACCACTCCGTGATCGTGCATGCTGCCGAGCAGATGGAGGATGGTCGTTTGGATTTTGTTTCGATTGTTATTGTTTGACACATATCGTATCATACCGTCATCAATCTGCACTCTCTCAATTTTAGATGAGCTAGGATGGCTTTCATTTCATTGCCTTCGATCTGCAGGATGTTGCAATTCCAAAAACACTGCCCGAGCACTCTGGGGTCATGAATGTCAAGGGCGATGGCTCCAAGGACGAGGGTTGATTGGATTGGTGGTTGTGTCCTGTGTTAAAGTCCTAAGCTGGGTTGCAAGCTTTGCCTTAACACGAAAACCATGCTTTGCAGGATTCTGGGCTGGCCGACAAGGAGCCGAAGGACGACCATTGAGGGATTGTGTTCTAGTCTGAACTTGACTAAAGACATCTGGTGAGCCCGGTCCTTGAACATTGGTGGGATGCGCGTGTAGCTTCGCCAGAGAAGCCTCAGTGGCAAGCTTTTCTGGGACCCATTGTACGACTTCCCTTTTAATCCTTTAAAACACCTTTTAATCATCCCTGAAGGAGGTCTTCCCTACGCCATCCCAGCCAACGACATCTATGGGCTTCGAGGCCGGGTGCGAGGAAATGGGTTGGAATAATATGTTGTTAGTCGGATGTAGATATCTCATTCTCATGCCAAGCCCTACAATGTTATGCTACGGAGTGCTGCTGTAAACATGAAGGACCGCATCTTCGCTACCGTGAATCTGGTGAGCCCCAGCAGCCCCAGCACAAAGAAAGACGAGGCCAATGTGAACACTCAGAAGTCCTCTGCAACATTGCCGAAATTATTTCCTGGCCAATGAGTCTTTGCATGCTGCCGAGGGTCAGCATCATGTCCCATTCGACATCAGATGAACTCAGGTATCCTTGGATGTGCGGAGCCAGTCGGGTAGCCCCGAGGTCAAAGGGTCCCGGAAGACTTCCCAAAGCTCTATCGTTTTGAAGAAGCCTGCCCAAAGCCCAACCTTCAACACCAAGCGGAAGCTGGATTTCGACAACATGGACATGGACGACACGCCCTACAAGGCCTTTCGAGCGGAGAAACTTCGGGACGCCTTGCAACTCCAAAGCCCAGTCCCAAGCCGAGCCGACGGCGAGACGGTCACCCCGAGCCCGATGAGCCGCACGCTAACTTCGAGTTCCAAGCCGTTGTCCAGCTCTAGCCCGGTGAGCCGTGTGCGTGTGAGTCCCAAGGCTGCGCCGTCGCCTGCCGCCAAGGCCAGTCTCAAGCCGGCCAAGGCGAAGGCTAAGGCTAAGTGCACGGCAGTGAAATCCAAGTCCCAGCCAGTTTCCAAGAAGGGTGGGGCAACCAAGCCGGGCAAGTCAAAGAAGAGTGTGACACCGAAGGACCGTGCAAGCCCTGGAAAGACGACGAGTGTGACACCGAAGACCGCAAGCCCTGAAAAGACGACGAGTGTGACGCCGACGAAGACCGCAAGCGCCGGAAAGAAGAGTGTGACGCCGAAGAAGACCGCAAGCAACGGAAAGAAGAGTGTGACGCCGAAGAAGCCGCGTGCAAGCCGAGGAAAGAAGAGTGTGACGCCAAAGAAGACCGCAAGCCCAGGAAAGAAGAGTGTGACGCCGAAGAAGACCGCAAGCCGTGGAAAGAAGAGTGTGACTCCGAAGAAGACCGCAAGCCGTGGAAAGAAGAGTGTGACGCCGAAGCGCCTCGGTAAGAAGCCCAAGAAGGTTCTGACACCGATTGTGAAGAAGTCCGGGAAGACCCTCAAGATGACTCGGGAGTGCATCTATTCCCGTGGCTATCACAACTGCAAGAACAATGGTGGCACCCTGAAGCAGGCTCGGGAAGGGAGCAACGGGACCATACATATACACATTTCATGATCTGTTATGAAGGGCATCATCTTATTGCACAACATGCCTGTCTAGTTGTTTTGTTCGGCCACAACCCCTCATCCAAACTTTACTGCTGCAAAAGCCCCCAGTCGTAGACCCTACATGGAGTTTAAAAGGCCCTAGGCCCCCTGTACCCTACCAGCCGTTTGGTGGAACTTTCGGTATGGGGTTACTACAGGGGCTTAAAAAATAGTCGATACTATTATTGTGGTGGTTCCTTGTCATAGCTATAGTATATTCTATGTACCCCAAACAAATAATAATTGATGCTTTGGTGTGGCACAAGTTTTGCTCTGAACCCTGGCCCTTGCACTAAAGACTTTCAAGCCTGTGGCACCGAAAACATTGGATCCCTGGGAAGCACATCTAGTACTATAGTAGTCTATTAGTTTACTGGTAGCATACCAATGGTAGTATAGTAGCAAAGCAGCATCAGTGCAACCCGTCCAATCCACTTGATCATTCCCTGAAGGCTCGTGCGGCTGGGCGGAAGGCATGCAAGAAACACTTCGGGTGGTGAATGCTTCACGAAGCAGGCCTAAACCCGCTAGTGAATGTGTATAATCCCTTTTTTGGTGAGAAGACGACTGAGCCTGCAGGATCTGATCTGAGATGCTATATTCCTGGAGCCTGCAATGATTCCTGGAACGATCTGATCAGATGTGGCATTCCTTTCTTGAGCCTGCACTGCAATGAATTCCTCCAGGATCTGATGTGAGATGTTGTGTTCATTTCTTGAGCCTGCCATGATCCCCTGAAGGATCGAATGTCATGACATGCTATAGTTCTTTCTGGAGCTGGCAATGATTCGCATAAGGATCTGACCTGAGATGCATCTTTCGCTCTTGAGCCTGCTCTGCAACGATTCCCTGCAGGATCTGATCTGAAATGCTTTATGTCTTTACTTTGTGGAGCCTGCAATGATGCCGAGAAGGACCGAATCGCGAGATGTGTTATGCCTTTCTTGTGCCTGCAGTGATTCCCGAAAGGATCGAAGGTGAGATGCTTTTATTCTTTACTTTCTGGAGCCTACAATGATTCCGGAAGGATCTGATGTGAGATGCAATCTAGGTTGCAAAGAATCCCTGTAGGGCCTTATCTTAGCTGCAGCTGGGCATCCGAGTGGTAGCGCGCCGCCATGCCCATCTGCTTTTCAAAGCTTCAATCGGCTGGCATGGTGCATCCGTGGCATACTACAACATTCCAGATGGCAGTCCAGCCATAGCATAATTCTAGAATTAAGCTAGTAGATTTCTCGAGTGATTCCCTTCCGATGCAAGTCCGGATGCTTAGACATGTTGGCCTTGTGCAGCGATACCGAAGCATGTGTGAGGAAAAAAGGCGCTTGCCAGATTGCAGCAGAACTGATAGGACTCGACCCACACCGAGATGAGCACTCCAGTGGAGGTTTAGGGTTTAATCTAGGGTTCAAAGGGTTCGGGGTTTAATGGGTTTTAAGGGCACTCCAGTGGAGTATTGGTTATCCATGTCCGGAATATGGGTTCTCATGACGGCCCCTTTAGTCTCTTTACTTGATTTCTGTGCAGCGGACAGAGTTGGACACGTTCGGTCCACATTTTCCTTCCCGCCGCAGGTTTCAATGCCGCCATCAGTGCCTGCGAGCAGGGGGGTGCGTGGCATCAAGCCTTGGCTGTTTATCAGGAGTTGATCCTTGCAGATCTGTCTCCGGACGAGCTTTCCTACAATGCCGCAGTGGCTCGGCACAAGCTCTGTACTCGTTCAGTTCTCAGGCTTGAAGTTTGAAGTGATCGCTCGCTTTCAAGGCCACGACCTGTTAGTTACACAGAGACACACACACACACATACAATGTATGTATGTATATAATATGTCTATGTAAAGATAGAGACATACAGGGTTTGTTCAAGTATAAATACCATAAAGCCAATTCGGCATTGATCAAGTATAAATACCATAAAGCCAATTCGGCATTGATTTTTATTTCAGTATCTACAGATGATACTGTTCGAGTTTTGTAACAGTTTGATCAAGTTAACACATGCAATAACATCTAAATGTACAGCCATGTACATTCATGTTGATGCTGAACTTTGAAGAAACGACGAACTCTCGAAACGAGCCCGGCACAAAGAGGACCGGAAAGCGATAGCAACCTATATCCTTAGCTGAAGGCCGAAAGCCTTGACGGAGTGAGCTCCTCAGCCGAAGGCATGAGGCGCCCTGAAAGACTCAACCAGCGAAGCTGGAGCCAGGGGACGTGAGGCGCCCAGAAATGATTCAGCCAGAAAAAACTGACGGAGCGACGCACCTAAGCGCCCGGAGGGGAGTCAACCATCCCCCGCTTGGGAAAGCGGACGCCCAGATGCCATCCTGGACCTCGGCCAGCCAGTTGCACAAAGCACCATCACGTTGACGGTGCTGTCATGTACATGCATATACATATGTGCATGCATATGTACGTATCACATCCGTGAAGCCAAGACTGTTCTTAAACTGCTGCAGTGTTTCACGGCAACCATTCGCGATATGAAGACCCCATCTGGCAGAGTCCTATTTATGTGAGAATTAACGAGGTCTTACGCCTGTTCGCGACCGTTTGAATTCCCTCCTCTCCACCCACAACTGAAACGGTGATATGATCCGTCTGCCATAAAGCAACAGCTAGAACAAGGCCCCAAGAAAGCAACGTTCCTGAAATAAAGCCGTGCCCTTCCTTCTTAAGGTCGGCTCTTTTGCTGTGTCCAGTGCCTGGGTCGCTGCTATACACTTTCTAGCGGTGCCGTGGCCTATTTGGTTTGGTTTCAAGGATCCTATTCAAGATATTTACGGCCCCACTGTGATCTGAAACTCTCCCGTTATAACGCTAAACACGTAAACCGTTGGCTTTTTTTTTGGGCTTCGAGCGTCCTGAATCAGTCTAAACTGCGGGCGGGGGTGGCGGGGTGGCGCTAAGTTGGGGAAGCCGGTTAAGTCGGCTGAAGACTTTCAGGATCGGGTCTGTGGATTGATTCTTCTGGTATTTGCTAACCGTATCGGCATCGATGACACTAGTACTACTTGTTAATTTCTCCTAAACTTTAGCCCCAATGCCAAGCATTCAGCTGGTAATTCGCACAAGCTCGTCGTCATTAGCGTCCTCGCATTGGCTCATTACACCACCGAGCTCAGATCTGCAAAGGAGGAGATGCTGTCGCGGGGCCTCTGCCCAAACGGCCTACATGCCGGGGCGGTGACAAGGTCTGTGATGGCTTCAGAGGGGGTGGAGGCGGGACTGGGCCTCTCGCGAAAACCAAACCCTAAACCAGCAAAGCAGAAACCCTATAAGCCCTATACGCTCTATAAGAAGTATGCAAAACTCTATAAACCCTGTGCAACCCTCTAAACCCCAAGCGCTACTCTAAACAAACGCCTGCTCCAGTTGCCAGAAGCTCGATAGAGTGTGAGAGTCGAAGTCCTATAGCACCGAATAGTTAGAATACTATTCCTTGCGGCAAGTTAGTTTCACTATTCCTTATAGAGTTTGTGTTGTGTTCGGGGTTAAGGGTTTACTGAATAGTCTGTAGGATCTTATTCCTCGTACGTGTAGATTGTATTGACAAAAGCCTGTTAAAACCCAACAACTGGCAATACTATTCAAGCACTGGCGGCTCGTCCTAGCGAAGTAGGAGGCAAAAACCACCTACACCCTAAATCTCAAATTCCAACCTCGCCTGTGAGCATAGTTCTCTGCCATGCGAGAGGGAAAATTCCCCCCTTCCCCCTCGCCCCTGCGTGGTGGCGTTTGGTGAGGCAGCCTGGAACTTCTTGGAGCCTGGGAGGAATTCAAAGTTGAGAAGACGGTTTTACGGGGTAACAGGGGTTCTTGTTGGATACAATTCTACATTTTTGTTATAATAAAACCCAATAGGGATTAAAAATGATCATTTTAATATGGCCCCAACAGGGAACCAGTTTAACAGGGGTTGTGTATGTGGTGATTTGGAACGGAATCTGCAGTGTAGCTGGGGCTTGGAGTGCATCAATCGCACGGACAAGGGCCTTCGTTGTGTGATCCGTCTTTTTTGCTTGGGGGTTGGGGTGGGGTATGCAGATAAATGAGCATATGCTACATGGGCGTCTGAATCAAGCACGGCTTGCCGGCTTTGGGATGTAGCACTAAGGATGACCTTCGAAGTCGACGGAAGTCATACTTCCGACGAAAATCATTTGATGTGCGGACATGTGTGTGCGTGTGGAGCATCACGCTAAAACCCTGGAGCCCTACAAACCCTAATCCCCGAACTCCTACCTTCCGGCACCCCGCAGCCATGCAAGTATGCGACGTAAAAGGCTGTTACGGTAACAGTCTCTAGTCCGAGTGTAAGTGCCGAATCCTAAACCATCCTAAACCTTATCGGCCTTCAGCGTAGGCGCTCCTGAGAGATTGCGGCAAAGATGCTGACACGCAAGCGCCTTCAACCCCAAGGCGTTCTGCCCAGGGTACTTAACTTGATGCATCAAGTTGCCTGAGAGGGCCTCGTGCGAGAAATCTGAGCCTTAGAGCTCCCCATATAGGAACCTGATTAAGCAACCTTGGGTCTTTTTTTGGGCTCTTTATATGGATCCTAATATTTAGGGTCCTAGGACCAGGGCTGCTTAGTCGGTCATGTTCCTACCACCATTCTCTGGAAGCCAGAACAGCCTAAACCCCAGACCCCTAAACCTCTAAACCCTAAGCCCCTAAACCCTAGACCTCTAAACCTCCAAACCCTAAGCCCCTAAACCCTAAACCCCTAAACCCTAAACCCCTAAGACCCTAAGCCCCTAAACCCTAAACCCCTAAACCCTAAACCCTTAAACCCAAGGAGCGGTTCAAGGAGCTCTGGCTCGCTGCGTCCGCTGCGGAGGTGGCGGAAGCGCCGTCGAATCTGCGCCCGGGCACGGGGAAGGGGCTCTCCGGGAACCGGGAGACATGGACCGGTTTGGTAGATTATGATAGGGTTTAGGGTTTAGGTAACACTTTATATTGCAATACTGTTATCAAAAAAAGATATCTATATATGTATGCTGTTAGAATTATATAGCTTCATACTGTTATAGTGCTTTTACATGTTGGTAGGATGTTTTGGTCCAGACCCCACTCCCTCAAATCTTCTCCCCAGCTCTCCCGAACGGGCCGGATACCAAATACTCTTTCATCGGGTTCCCTGTTTTACCTACTGTAGGGGCTGAAAAATAAGTACTATGTTTACTTTGGTGGTTCCTTATTATAATTATAGTAGAATATACCCCCAAGCCGTATTCGAATTATTAAGGCCCCTACATCATTACTCGTACTAGAGTACCCTATAACGCCAAATCCTGTTCCCGTAATGAAGACCCTTTTTTTCCCTGAGAAGGCTTAAGCTGCAGAGCCTCCAAGAATTGCCTAGAGAATCCTAGGCCCTCAAGACTCCCAAGTGCCTGAACCTGAGTCAGGGTTTAGGGTATTATAGGGGCCTTA